TTTTGGAAAACTGTTGCGGTCACCATGACCACAGGTCTGTGGTTATGAGTTAAACCAACTTCACCGGCTGGAAGTTTTGTGCAATTCAAAGTGTTGGTTTTCAACTCTGAAGCCCTAAATGATTTTAAAAGAGGCTATTTTAAGACTCTACTCCTTCTGTATAATTCTACCTAACCTTATTGAGTGCTACATACCTACAGTACATCCCCAGCCTTGCTTTACAATTGGATGAGCTGCATTTTGTGAGAATGAAAGGACCATCTCTGAGTGTGTTGCTATATTGTCTGTGCTTCCAAATTGTGGGGTGAGGGAAAAATATTTCAACTTGCAATATAGACTCTAAATTTAAGATCCTACCATGACCACATTTGGGGAAGGTGCATGTGATATAGGTACACAACTAAGATTTTCACCTAATGTAGTCTATTTTACTAAAATGCATTATGTGAAAGTTTCAGTTGACAAAAACCATGATAGACCATGGATAAGTATGGTGTATGGAAAGTTGCAGCTTAAAAGGTATATCTGGGAAAGCATGAAATAATAAGCAAAGTGAATAAGAAAAATAAAATAGTTTCTGTGTCTACAATATGAGAAAATGTAAGAAGTGAAAGGAATGAATGGTAGTCCAGTTTTGTGTATTCAGATTGATGAACACATGTGAGGAAATGACGGTAGGCATAAAAACCAAGCAACAATAAAATAATTCAAAAATAAAACAACTCAAAAATAAAAGTCCAATCTGGTTAAAACAATTCTGGTTTCAACATCTTTCTGAATGAAATCAGGGAGGGGAGCAACCTAATCTTCACATAGAGACTGTTCCAGAGATTGGCACTGCAACTGAGAAATAGCATCTCCTGGCCTCAGTTCCCTTTATGTCCTCAAAATAGGGTACTAAGAGCCGTTTCTCCTTATGTGACCAGATAGGTTGGGTTAATTCTCTCCTGTAGAGTAATTTAATTTATTTAGGAATAAAAGCACTACAATATGTAATATGAATCTATATTGTTGGTGCATGTGCCTAGAGTTACTTTCAGCAAGATGGTGGCACATAAGTTTAATAAATAAATAAAAATAAAGAACCAGAGATAAGTTTGGAGAAAAATATGCAACACAGTGCATGGATACAATCCATGGGAAAATAGTTATTGTATTAGGACTAATATACAGATAGGTAGCAATGAAATGAGAGAATAGTGAGAAAATGATTGGGTAATGCAGTACAGAAGAATAATGAGAAAAGTGATTGGTGAATATTTGCCTAGAAAAAGATATATTTATAAGTCATATATAAATATATGTATGTGTGTGTGTGTGTGTAATATATATAGAGAGAGATAGAGGGACAGAGCATTCATAGCTTTAGACTACACACATACATACACACACACATATACATCTATAATCTAAAACTATGAATACTCCCTCCCCCTCCCCCCTGTGTGATATTTGCAGGGAACAACTTAGTTCACATACCTTCATGTCTTGTCTTGCTTATCTTATCAGCTTCCTGCAAATTGCTTCTGGGCATTCTGCCAATCATAGTAATCCAGTCAGGACACAGAGTTGCAGGCTAACCAGCATACTTCAGCAGCAGCGAACAGAGAAAAGCGACAATTCTGACCTCGCAGCATACCCACAGCTTCTAAACTGAAAGTAGGGGCCCGATGATGACAAGTTAGAGAGCTTGTCAAAAAGTTGTCAAAAAAACCTTTAAAGTGTTTGTTAGGATTTTAGACAAAGTTTTTAAGAGACCTTACAAAGTGTTTTGTTAGGATTTTAGAGGATTTTGAGCTGGGATTTTAGCCAGGATTTTAAGATTTTAAGCATTTTAGCTAACAGACTTTTAATGACGTGGGAAAACATCTGAGATTTTAACTTTTTACATACACGTGACTTATATTTAAATTACATTATCAAAAAGATATTTTTCTAGAGAAATATACATATACACATAACATCAATGTTTTAGCTATTGTCTATGCACTGACTGTAGGATGAAGGCCTCTTCCACATGTTTCAAATCAATACAATCCTGAGTTTTCTTTTGCCAATTGGGCCAGTAATACTTGCTGATGTTGTTGATTCATCTTGTTTTAGGTCTCTTTTGTGAACACTTTTATCAAGTGGAATCCATTCTAAGACTGCTTTGGTCCACCTGCCATCAGTTCTTCTTCCTATGTGACCAGCCCATTTCTATTTCAATTCTTTTACTCTCTTGATGATATCGTATACTTTTGTTTGTTCTCTAAACCATGTGCAAGTCTTTCTATCTTGTCTTGTGATGCCGAGCATGGTATCTTTCCATGGCTCTTCATGCCACTTGTAGCTTTTGTATCAGTTGTGAGGGTAGTATCCATGTTTCACTGGCATATGTTAGAGCAGGTAGCACACACTGATCGAAAACTTTTCTCTTCAGGGATAGGGGGAGATTGTTCTTGAAAATTATGCTTAACTTGCCGAAAGCCTACCAACTACATTTAGCATGCCATTCAATTTCCTTTATTGTATCACTTTCCATTGAAATCCATTGGTCAAGGTATATGTAGTGATCTACTACATCTAATTCTTCTCAAGATCTAAAAAAAATTCTTTCTTTGGTGAATTTATGAAACATAATTTGGCTCTTTTCATATTTATTTTTAAGCCAAATGGTTCTCCTGCTTTGTGCAGCTCTTGTATGTGTCTTTGTAGTTCTTCTGGTCTTATGAGAAGAGAACAACATCACCTGCAAATCTGAAGTGATTTAAATAGGTGCAATTGATTCTTATTCCATCTTTGCCAAGTCTAGTTTATGAAATACTAAGTGTGTGTGTATAGAATTAGATGTGGTAGACCACTACATATACCTTGGCTAATGGATTTCAATGGAAAGTGATACAATAAAGGAAATTGAATGGTGTGTTAAATGTGGTTGGTAGGCTTTTGGCAAGTTAAGTACACACACACACACATTCACACATACCCAGAAGCAATTTGCAGGAAGCTGATAAGTTAAGCAAGACAAGACACGAAGGTATGTGAACTAAATTGTTCCCTGCAAATTGCTTCAGTCGGTGTTCCTCCTTAAATAGGCTAAGGGAGTGGCCAATTAGCCCCACGCCTTACTCTTGAGGAGACCTCCTTCTGAGGAGCCACTCCTGCCTTTTGGCAGCTCTGCGCATGTTAAGGATATTGTTGTGTTACCAACCAGCAGAGTAAGTGCACAGAGAAATGGTACTGAGAGCAATGAATACAATACATACAAACTGGTTTAACAAAGCTTTTACTTTGTAATGAAAAAAAGTTGCATAGTCTTTTAGTCAATCCAAGTCTTTAGCCATTCAAATCAATCCGAAGTCACAGATATCTTCTTACCAGACAAACAGCAATTCAACGCTGGTAACAAATCACAATGATAGCAGATCCATCCACTTCTTCACACGACGACAGTAACAGTTCCAATCAACAGTTCCAGTCAAACAGCAAGTCAAACAATGATGAGAGCAGGTCCAACAATGACTATAGCTCGGCTCTCTCCTTATATACAGTTTACACTAGTAATTATCCACTTAAGATAAGTGAAGTCAGCAGTGCAATGACTCAACAGTACAATTATGATAATTGCAGTCAGCAGTTAGTCAGCAGTCATTAGTCATTACAATGACTCAGCAGTACAATTACTCAGCATTACATCTTGGAGTTACAGAATACATTTAAAGTTATAAAACACATATATTGCCTGGATAACTTGTTAGGTTTACACCATATCCTAACAGCGCGCCTGTGCATTGAGAAGAGGTTCCTTCTCTTCATCCTCTTCACTTAAGGGAGCTTCTGGAGCTTCTGAAGGCCCTGGCTGAATCCCCGCCTCTGGCATCACATCTTCTCCAGCCTCCTCATTGTCCGACTCGAGTGCCAGCTGTACAGGCTGCTGGCGCAGCACCACACCAGTCTCCTCACTAGCTGCAAAGGCCGTGTACGGGTCACAACATACACATACATGAATGATGAAAGGTTCTCAATGAAGGAAGAAACTAGAGTGAAAGTAATAAACAAAAAAAAATATGCATCTTGTGTAAAAAAGAAAATAGTTTAATCTCCCGACAGAATGAATGAAAAACAGAAATAAGGAAATGGTATGTAGAAACTATTTGAAATATAATGAAAAAGAACTATGTTTTATAGTGCCACACAAACATGTGAAGTTATAAGGAGTATGTAAACAGACCACTTGGTGAAAAGTTGAAGTGAAAGTGGCAATGTATGAGAAAAATGCATATAAAGAAAATGTTGGCTAAAAAAATAATGAGAGAAAATCACATAATGTGTATAAAGGGAAAAAAATAGTTGTGTAATAAAAGAGAACAAGGGATGGTTAAGATTAAGACAGGAAAAAATGAAAAAATATTTTGATGTTGAGGATCAGCGTAAAAAATAATAATTAAGGGGTGAGTAGCATAACCTTACTGGGACATCTTTAAAAGTTGCATTAGAATGGATATAAAGGTTTGGGGTGGGGAAAATCCAGCTAGAACTCATATTGGAGTTGTACTTCATTATTATCCAAGTCTACCAGTAGATAGAAAGCGGATTACGTTTTTAATCCGTATGCTGAAGAGAGTTGTTCCAAATTGTACCTCGGAGACATGGAAGCCTCATTGGTGCTATAGGAAAACACATAAATGTTATTGCAGAACAGAAACAACAACAACAACAAAAAAAAAAAACAGGAAAGAAAGAAGGGTTTCAAAACTGCCACTACTGACAAATAAAATCAACAGTTAAAGCAAGTTATTTCAATGATGTCAGAAAATAATGAGAAGGAATATTCCAATCAGAGTTCACTTGTATTGTTAAATTACATCCTAACGACTCGTGCATTAACCACATTTTACTTGTTTCAAAAAATCTATTGAATGAATTTACCAATATTTAATTTCTTTTGACGAGAGGACATGGCTTCATACATCTTGCTGTCTTTCAGTGCCCTGAATGCTTGTTTATTGTATTTCCAGAACTACTGCTGGATGGGGAAGGGGAAAAAAATTGCAAGGAGCTAAAGCTACTCAATTGTTATCAGTAAGTTCCTTTTATTTTATGCTCTTTGCTCCTTCAACAGCAGGAAGTTCCAGGATTCCTTTACAGGCCAATTGCTTGGCAAGTAGCATAGAGCTTATATAATTCACTCCTCTGAAGGCAGCCATTCCTTATCCTTCAAATGTTCACACCGCAATTTTATGTAGACTATATTAAAATGCATTGTGAGGAGAAAGAGCCGATTCCTCAAATTTCAGGTTCAATTGCATTGGCCTTTGCCAGTTAAAAAATGTAGAGATATTGAATATCTTTGCCCGAGAGCTTGGAAAGTGATTGCCCATTGGAGTTCACAGCTTTGGGGAGATAGACAAAAATATAGATGTACACAAATGTTGCACCCATAAGCACACTGATTGCCTCTCTCTTGGAGCACATGGCATATACACTACCCGTTTTCCCGCAAAGGTCTATTTTTTTTTTTTCCTCAGTGCTTTTAATGACAGTTGCTTTGGGCAGTTGAGGTGTCTATATATTGCCAAGTATGTGTTTCAAAGTTCTGGTACTATCAATTTAATTTGCGAGAAACAGTTTGGGGAAAGTCACACTGTTTATATAATCAGGGAAAACCAAGCAGCACATTTTCCACAGGCATTGTGAAATAGAATGCGAGGAATTGCAACTGATTAGGATGGGATAATATTATTAAGCTCGGTTTCTGAAATTGACTAGAGTGGCATAGGGGCACCATTCAGAAAGGAAAGGCATGGTCTGGTTTCCAATTCCAACTAAAAACTGAGGCACAGTGAAGGATTGGTTCCTTTTAAAAAGTTGTGTGATTATTTGAATGGACAAAGAAAGGGCTCATCGTTAGCCATTCAGTTGTGTCCGATCAGTGGTGGGATTCAAATAATTTAACAACCGGTTCTCCCTGGGTCAGGTTGGCTGTTGTGGGAAGTGTGTCCCATCCCCATCCTCCAGCTCCGCCACACATGCAGAATGAGCCTCCCGCGATGGCCAACCTGACCCTGGGCGAACCAGTTAAATTACCCATCCCACTATCAAAGGGGATCCTGGGCGCTGCGCTGCAATGGAGAAATGAGCAACCGAGCGGCTGGCACAACCAGAGGAGGAGAAGGAGGGAGAAGAAAGAAGAAAAGCACTCTTCTCCTTCCCTCGTGCCAGCCGCTCCGTTGCCCATTTCTCCACTGCAGCGCAGCGCCCAGGATCCACTTTGATAGTGGGGAGGGGGTGTAATTTAACAACCGGTTCACCTGAACCGGCTCCCAGCACTGGCTCCCAGCACTGTGTCCAATCCTTGTCTACTCTATGGATCAGCACTCTCCATGCCCTTCTGTCTCACACTGCTTTCTTCAGATCTGCCATGGTCATCTGGTGTTTATAGTATCCAGCCAGCAGGTACTGGGAGGTGGGGAGGCTTCTCTTTTTTCCTCTGATCACTCCCAGCATGATTGATGTTTTAAGTGAATCAGCTCTCATGACATAACCAGTGTATGACAGCCTCTGTTTGGCTATCTTGGCTTCAAGTGATATTTTTGGTGAAGGTCTCTAGGACTTCCTTGTTTATTATTTTTGCAGTCCATGGGATGCGTAATGGTCGCTTCCAGTACTACAGTTCAAAGGCGTCCATCCTTCTCCTATCTGCCTTTTTTAAAGTCCACGTTTCACAGCCATAAATAGCAATTGGGAAATTGCTACTTAATTGGAAAACTGGGAAATTGGAAAAGGGGAAATTGAAAAAAGAAAGGGGGAGGTACCCAGAAGCTCCTGGACAGACTGCAACAGTATTTTTTTTTAAATTTGATTTATATGCCGCCCTTCTCCGGAGACTCAGGGCGGCTTACAATGCGTTAAGCAATAGCCTTCATACTTTTGTATATTTTATACAAAGTCATCTTATTGCCCCCATAATCTGGGTCCTCATTTTACCTACCTTAGAAAGGATGGAAGGCTGAGTCAACCTTGAGCCTGGTGAGATTTGAACTTGCAGTAATTACAGGCAGCAGATGTAAGTGGATGTTATAACAGTGCTTTAGTCTGCTGAGCCACCAGAGCTCCGTATTCAGGTATGTATGATGTATTTGTTCGTCTTTGATTGCTGAATAATTTGTGTATGTTCTGCTTTATTTTTCCATAGTATCAAGGTGTCATGGCCATAGCCAATCGTTTATTTTCATTTTTCAGGACTTCACTTGTCAGATACAAAATATTGTTGGAGTGTTTTATGCATTGAGGAGGTGTTGTTCGGTTACGGAGGACAGCACTCTTCGTTCTGAGTGGCATGGCCTGAAGGAATTAGTAAGATCTCTGCTGTGTGACTGTCATTATGCTATTTCCATGCTATTTGCTTCCTCATCTCTTTTCCCAACAAATATATATTAAAATAAATCACTGTGGTATGTATTTCCTGAGATGAACTAGCCACATTATAGAGATGACCAGATAAAATGCAAGTATGCCCTGTATGATTCAGAATAATTGTCACTATTTCCTTATATTCTGTTTTTTCAACACTGAAATAATAATCTCTGGACAATTTTCTAATCCATATGTCAAGGATGATGAGTAGGAAATATTTTAAATCTATAAAACAGAGCAAAACTACTTAGCTCAGATAAGAAACCAAGTAATATTACTTGCTAAGAAATTAATTCTCCTTTACATAGAACAGCTGTTTTTATAATGGAAATACAGTCTAATATTTTCTGTGGGATACATTTGAATAGTGTTTGTTTGTTTGTTTGTTTGTTACATTTCTATACCACCCATCTCACCTAAATGACTCTGGGCCACCTAAATGACTCTGTCTGCCTGTCTGTCATTTATCTATACACATACATTCAGAATGCCACAATGGTTATATTCACAGTGTTTAATTATGCTTTATCAACTAAGTCATCATGGCTAGGTATACATATGTTAAGCCATAAATCATGATATACAAATCACAACTAACTGGATTCATACAACATACCAAGTCAAATCCAAACAAATCACATTAGCGTTTAGCCTGTTCTCCTTTTATTATTGATTGTTTAACTTTGGACTATTGGACAAAATTAACCACCTGCAAAAAAAGTCAAATAATAGTTTTAGAGTTATCTTAATTTCCACAATTTTGATTATAATACTGTTAATTTTCATTCTATTGCTGCAAATCACATTTTGCTAAATATAAAAAAGCAAAACAGAGTCAACTGTACTTTTTACTTTTGGGGTAGGCTTGGATTTTTAGGCTGGACTGGGAAGCTGGAAAAAAAATCCTGGAATAAGGCAATGGGAACCACTTTATTATTGTTGCCAAGAAGCCTGCATCAATGTGCCCACCTAAGGACTCATGCTCAGCTCAGTAGAAATAAAATAATTTTATTAAGAAATATGTGGATCTTGATCTATTCTAAGTAACTAGTTCAGATCTATCTGGCTTATTGTGGACTAACTCCAGGTGAATATACTGTCTAAACTTTGCTGCTAAATAATTACCCTTAGAATTACAAATATATTTTGTTCAAGGTAAATCACTGTGATCATTTCAGTGATTGTGTCTTTTGCATCGTTTGCAAAGGCTATGTTACATCATGTGTATCATCTGCATCATGATTACATTATGCAAATTATATAAATCATGGAAATTAGCCCATTGCTTGGTTGTATCAAGGTCTGTTAAATCAAGTTTCAGTATATTGATTCTCAAAAAAAACTAAAAGGAAAAACTGAAAGTTTAATTAACTCTTTGGAAAAATGAATGGAAATTAGCCATTTTCTGTAGTACATTCAAATGTAATTTTGTGTTTGTTTGCAGAGGATTTTCTAAATTGTTATTTTTTTACAGTTTGATAACTTCTTGCTTTTTGCTATTTTCCCCTCTATTTACTGCAGCATTTTATCCTTAAAAACTTTTTTCTTTGTATTTTATACTTTCATAAACTAATAAAAAAAAGTTTTGATCCAAAAAAAAAAAAAAAGCAAATTCTTGGGTTAGCCCATCCAGTCAAAAGCAAGTTATATCCTTCCAATGAATTTATAGAGACTGGTGTATATATATATATACAGTATGTGTATATATACAGGTGAAACTCGAAAAATTAGAATATCGTGCAAAAGTTCATTTATTTCAGTAATGCAACTTAAAAGGTGAAACTAATATATATGAGATAGACTCATTATATGAAAAGTGAGATAGTTCAAGCCTTGATTTGTCATACTTTTGATGATTATGGTTTACAGCTCATGAAAATCCCAAATTCACAATCTCAGAAAATTAGAATATTGTGAAAAGGTTCAATATTCTAGGCTCAAAGTGTCCCACTCTAATCAGCTAATTAAGCCATAACACCCGCAAAGGGTTCCTGAGCCTTTAAATGGTCTCTCAGTCTGGTTCAGTAGGAATCAAAATCATGGGAAAGACTGCTGACCTGACAATTGTGCAGAAAACCATCATTGACACCCTCCATAAGGAGGGAAAGTCTCAAAAGGTAATTGCAAAAGAAGTTGGATGTTCCCAAAGTGCTGTATCAAAGCACATTAATAGAAAATTATGTGGAAAGGAAAAGTGTGGAAGAAAAAGGTGCATAAGCAGCAGGGATGACCGCAACCTGGAGAGGATTGTCAGGAAAAGGCCATTCAAAAGTGTTGGGGATTTTCACAAGGAGTGGACAGAGGCTGGAGTCATTGCATCAAGAGCCACCACACACAGAGGGATCCTGGACATGGGCTTCAAATGTCGTATTCCTCTTGTCAAGCTGCTCCTGAACAACAAACAACATCAGAAGCATCTTACTGGGCTAAAGAAAAAAAGAACTGGTCTGTTGCTCAGTGGTCCAAAGTCCTCTTTTCTGATGAGAGCAACTTTTGCATCTCATTTGGAAACCAAGGACCCGGAGTCTGGAGGTAGAATGAAAGATGCTTGAAGTCCAGTGTGAAGTTTCCACAGTCTGTGTTGATTTGGGGAGCAATGTCACCTGCTGGTGTTGGTCTACTGTGCTTCATTAAGTCCAGGGTCAACGCAGCCATCTACCAGGAGATTTTGGAGCACTTCAGGCTTCCTTCCGCAGATGAGCTTTATGGGGATGCTGACTTCATTTTCCAGCAGGACTTGGCACCTGCTCACACTGCCAAAACCTGGTTCAATGACCATGGGATTACTGTGCTTGATTGGCCAGCAAACACGCCTGACCTGAACCCCATAGAGAAGTTATGGGGCATTGCCAAGAGAAAGATGAGAGACATGAGACCGAACAATGCAGAAGAGCTGAAGGCCACTATTGAAGCACCCTGGTCTTTCATAACACCTCAGCAGTGCCACAGGCTGATAGCATCCATGCCATGCCGCATTGAGGCAGTAACTGATGCAAAAAGGGCCCAAACCAAGTACTGAGTACATATGCATACTTATACTTTTCAGAGGTCCAATATTGTTCTATGTACAATACTTGTTTTATTGATTTCATGTAATATTCTAATTTTCTGAGATTGTGAATTTGGGGTTTTCATGAGCTGTAAGCCATAATCATCAAAATTATGACAAATCAAGGCTTGAGCTATCTCGCTTTGCATGTAATGAGTCTATCTCATATATTAGTTTCACCTTTTAAGTTGCATTACTGAAATAAATGAAGTTTTGCATGATATTCTAATTTTTCGAGTATCACCTGTATGTATATATATGAATGTGTGTGTGTGTATAATTGTATATGTGTGTGTATATATTTATGTATGTACAGTATATGTATGTATATATGTACAGTATGTATATGTGTATGTATGTGTGTGTATATATGTGTATGTGTGTATATATGTATGTATATGTGTGTGTGTGTATAAATTGGAATATGACTGTGGATGTAGCTGAATTCATACATTATGGTAAGCCAAGATGTGGCTTGGTTGGTTTTGGTTTGGTGTATTCTATGATCCCAACCATGATGATTTGTAGACCATAATTTTGTTCCATCTGAGTCACCATATTCAGCTTAGGGAATAAACATGGTTAAACAAAATTTACTGAGAATTAGTAAAAACAAACTGAAAAATATGAACATATCACTTGTACTAGAATCTTCTAAGACAGTGTTTCTTAACCTCAATCACTTTAAGATGGGTAGATTTCAAGTACTAGATTACTCCAGCCAGCATGCTGGGTTGAAGTCTACCCATTTTAAAGTTGCTGAGGTTGAAAAACATTGTTCTAAGATAATATATCAACGTTGTCTCCCTTCTAGTATGTTTGCAGTATTGGTGGGTAATATTACCGCTGTTTAATGTCTTGTATTTTATGTATCATTTTGCTGTTTTTTTTAGATGATTCTCTCTTCAATTGCTTAATGGAATGCTCAGATATTCAAACCTGATCATTTAATTGCACAGCAAAGATTCAGAAACTATGCTACTGCTTTCTGGCTCCAGCTGCAATAAATTTGACTTGATTGATTCATTTATTCTTAATTTCTCTACCCTTAAAAACTCACAAATATTGTTGTCCTATATCTGCAACCTCTATGTAGAAAACAACAACGTAAGGCTGGGAATTCTTTTTATGACTGCAGTCTATATAGGAATCTGCACGCTCCAGACACATCGCATTTAAACTTGGTCAGTTCCTACTTAGAAAAATGGCAGACGCTGTCAAAAATGTTTCCACCCAGTTGCCATCTTTATGACATTGACAAATTAAACAATATTTGTTTTAATCTGAGGTACGAATAAGCTAGTATAATGGAACAGTGTGTTCAGCAAACACCGTCACTATAGAAATCATGGGAAGAAATTCTAGAAGCATTTTGGAAAGAAAAAAAAATACTGTAATTTGAGACAATTTTTTTTCCTGAATGGAAAATCTAGTTGTCGTTTCAATGATTCCCTATGGAATACAGTACTATTCTTAAAGAAATGGTAACTTTCCAATATCATCAACTGAAAAAACGAAATGTCATATTTAAAGGTTTTGATCATCAGATGGAATGATGCAATAGCTCACTGCAACTCTGTAAATGGCTTGGCCTACAGTCTTATTTGAATCTCCTGCTCAATGGCAAAATGGTTGGGTTTGGCCAAAGTGGTGGCTTTTGAATGAGACCATGTGGTGACCATTCTGGTTGGGAATTCTGGAAACCGCAAGTTGAGAAAAGCTGGAAAATAATTGCCTTTAAATTGCAACCCTATCAACATATACCTGGGAATAGGTTTCAATAACATGTTTTACTATTCCTGGATACCCAGGTGGGCATGTAACAATAATTACATTTATTCTTCCATTTAATTCCAAATGCATTCTTTTTTCCAAACATGGGTACTTATGTAACCAGTATGCTAGGCTCCAAAGACTAGAAATTCTGTTCTTTTTTTTTTATTATTGAAAAGTTTTATAAGAAATACAAACAATTTTCTCCCCCCCACCCTTTCCCCCTCCCCACATAATAGAAAGTGTACATTTTCTTATACATAATAAATGCATATTTCCCTTAAAGAAAGCATTAAAATAGGACATTTTAATTACATTCGGAGTTGCTCTTCTTCTCTTTCTTCCCTCATTCCACAACAAACCTTCTTCTTCTCCTCCTTTCTTTCCCTTCCCTCCCTCCTCTTCTCTCCTACTTTCTCCTTCCTCCTCTCCTACCTCATCCTACTTCCTTTTCCTTTCCCCCACTTCTCTCTTCTTTTCCCCCTTCTCACCTTCACTCCTACTCCTGTCCCCTTCCTTTCCTCCTCTCCTTCTTCCATTCCTCTCCCTCCCTCTCCTCTTCCTACCCTCTCCTCCTCTCTCCTTTCTAACTTCTTTGCTGTGAAATATTCTCCTCCTTTAGTATCTGAGCAACTCCTGTATACTAATCGTAGATACTTTCTTCTGTTAAAACATTTCTCTATTCACCACTTTTTTTTCCCCATCCCAACCCTTATCCCACCCTCCCCACCCCACCCGACTTCCCAGAGCAAAAACGGGGTATAGCGTCTAACAAACATATGCTAAAATAAACTAATTATAAATTTCAAAACTCCCACACGTTCTTTAACTCCCCTTGCTCCAATTCATCAACCTCCCTTTTATAAATCCTCAAGACCAATTCCGTTAAATTCATTCATCCTAATTATAAAAAAAACTTTTTCTTGATGTATAATCCAATACTTTAGCAATATTACAAACAGTAAAAGTCATAAGTAAATTTCATTTCCATACCTTTGAACATCATTCTTTTTGAACATTACTCCCTAATAAAATTCTGAATTTAACATTAATCCTCTTTCCTTCAAAAAATTGGGTATCTTGAAATCTTACACATTTTATCTCATATACCTGTTAAAATAATATAATCTTATGTTAAACATTTTGAAAATCTCTTAATACCTTTAAAACACTTATTTACCAAATATAAATTTCAAAATCTACAAGAGGATATCTTTCAAGTTTTCAATTAACCATTTTAATACCTCTAACTTTTTAGAAAGCAACCCTTTTACTATCCAAAACTAGTTATCGTTTTGTAATAGAATTCTGAATTTTACATTAATCCTCTTTGCTTCAAAAAGTTGGGCATCTTGAAAGCTTACACAATTTATCTGATATATCTTTTAAAATAATAATCTTATGTTAAACATTTTAAAAATCTCTTAATACCATTAAAACACATATTTGCCAAATGCAGATTTCAAAATCTACAGGAAGATATCTTTCAAATTTTCAGTTCCTAAAATAGCCTTTAATACCAATGTAATTAAACTTTTCAATTTATTACTAGAATCTTCCTTCCCCAAAGAGAGAAAAAACAAAGCAAATACTTAATCTTCTATTCTTCTCTTCTTTCTATATTTTTTCCAGTCCTTTTTTTATTAATTCTTTCAACATTCCCCCCAATTTTATTTTTGAAAATTTTAAAATGTTGATTTGAGGTTGATGTTTCTGAAATACTCGCTCTCTTCTTGAAATCACTTTTTCTAGTTTGAGATCTCCAATTTCGACTCTTCTTGCTTGTATAATCCTTCAGTCCATTCCTTTGTCCATATAGCCAAAATTTGTTGCCATAAAGTTTGTCAGCT